TATGAGTCATACTGAGACTGTTAGAAACTAGATCTGTAAAAAATAGCGTTGGCTTTTATTAAAATTGTTGCAACTTTCGACACGTTTGTATTATGTGACTTTTTGTTATTTGAACTGAGGTCACAATTCTGGTATTCATTAACCATCATCATCGTTCAGACATGGCTCAATTAAACTGATGGGATGGCTTAATGTGATCTTCCAAACGTGTTTATAGAGTTATCAAGATAGACAAAAAACTAACCAAACTGAAAACATCAAAACAAAGAAACTTTTCATCTGTTTTTTCTGGCAAAGAAATGTAAGTATTAAAAATCATAATCTAAATTTATCCTTCTTATAAATCAATAATTTTACTTGAAGATTATTCTAAATAACTCTCAAAATATTAAAATATTAATTTAGTTTCTGCCTCATCTTAATACAAAACGTTTTCCAAATAATTATTTATGACACGTGCAAAAAAAAATACAAAAATTTTGCACGAAATCGATTTTACATATTGAATAACGTGCCAAATGGAAATCGCAAAAGCTGTGTTTTTAGCATTTTATGTGACGTTTACGCAGTGAAACTAACCTGTAATTATCACGGACCAAAATTAAATATGAAATTGAGAAAATTGCTACCGAAATTGTCAATGTTTTAGTGATATTTTTGGAATTTTTAATTCAGTGTAATCATGGAACATTTACCGTTTAAGTTTGAATCCGTATGAGGTTATTGAGTCATTGTGTGAAACCAAATGTAGCGAGTTCAATGGTGTTATTTTGCGTTTCGGCAACCCTAATGTGTAATAATTACGGTTGTTACAGATTTTATTGTTCATTTGTTTGTTTTTGGTGTATAAAAAATAAAAAAAGTTTATTACGCTCACGTCATTGTTTGTTTTATAACGACACGCACGGATTACGTCATTGTTTTTGATTTAAAATTGAATTCGTATTTTTCGCAATGATTTAAACAACTGTATAAACTGTAAATTATTATAATGTCATACATATTTGATACTAGGAACACTAGAAGGGTTATCGACCGATGCATGCACACATGTTTTTTAAGGACGTTCGTTTTATTATTGAGTTGTAAGTATGTTGTATTTGGCAAGAAACACAAAATTGCCATTGATTATCAATTTTGAATCTAAATGAGTACATAATTATATTTTTCCTAGAAACAAAATAATGACTATCACACAAAAAGTTGTTTATGAAACAATTACACCGAAATCGTTTTGATAAATGAACTCCATTTCCCACTTTATGATCGTTTATTGAATGAAAACACTACGCCGTTATTATGACGCGGCTTATTATAAAATACCGTTTCAATTATAATTTCGAGCCGCCAAAAATGTCGGAGACAATCGGAAAAAAGTCGGCACTCGTGCTCCCGTTTCGAGAATTTCAAGATGTCTATCCCGAAGACATCTCAATAAATCTGCCTTGTTTGTTCGTAATGACATGATTTTTCGGACCACTGTCCATGGCGCAATCTCAATTAGCGCGATATATTTCCTCGTTAAAATTGGCGGCGCAAACTGGGCCTTTTGACGGTGCAGTGGTGCGGAAAAGTGTTAAGTTTCTTTGGTCGAAGGGCGATTTTGGGATAGCCCTTTTATAACTTTGTTGCATTCATAAGTGCTATGGAATAATTTTCTTCCTCCTCTTGTGTAAGGCTGGGTGGCACCATCTTACTTTAACTTTGACAAACGTCAAAAGTTTCTAACTCTCATGTCAAAGTTGTAAATAATTATGATGATTTAAACTAAGAATAACATTAGGTCTTTGACTCTTTTCAGATTGCTGGAGCTCAGTGACTCCCAATGCGAAGAAAAACGTCAGCAAAATTATGAAACCAGTATCAAAATATTGGAGATGCATTATCGTGAGCGACAAGAAGTCTTCTAAGCATTTTGGGCTACAGACATCGATCAGGTAAGTTGCAGCTAAAATTAATAAAGATAAATAAATAACTTATCAACATCTTCTTTTCTAGTAATAAGTTCTAAATAATTACTTCTTGTAACTATGCCCAGTGATACCTAGAAAATTTTAAACCTTATTTAAGATATAGAGTTGAGTGTGTTCTTACAGGTACAGTTTATTTTTATAATAATCAAAACTTTCCTGTAGTTCGAACCTTACAAACCGACATAGTTAACTGTATTATGTATCAGCTGAACATGTCTAGTGAGGGACCATAAACTTCAGGTGATATAGAATAGAATATCATTGTTCAGCATTTAACATTATTGAACTATTCTGAAAAGGGCGCTCAGCGAAAATCGTAACATGACACTCGTCAAGTCACGAAGCTGGTTTTCAGCGGGTACCATCGTTATGTCGTAAGGTTTTTAAGAAATAAGAAAAAAATGTTTTTCATTCACCGCAATCCTTCCTCGCGCGACTGTACCCCGCTCAATAATGCAAAGCTCCCATTATCCCCACTAACGAGCAAACATTTCTTTTCCCCGCGTAAACGGCCGACTATATCGGGAAATGACCGACGGCCGGCCGTTCTGAAAAAATAATGATTTGTTACTTCGCACTGTTACATTACTCCAATTAAATTGAGTGACAAAAATCTTGTAGTGTCGTCCGATTGGCTCACCACACCCGATTTTAAACTCTATGGGTTTATAATAAGGTTTATTTTCGTGTTTTTGGACAAGTACAGTCAGCGTCAAAATCAGAACGGCAGATAATAAGTACAATTAAAACTGTTAACGTTTTATTGGACCAGCCCCTTATTAGTATAAGTGGGTTGTAACAACATTGATTTCTCGGGTCAATTTTATTGTTTTGCGTCTTGATCATTTAATTTAATTGCTGCATAGTATTTTCACAAGGGCCTGGCAAGTCATTAAGTTAATTTATGTCGTTTTGTATGTTTATATGAGTGTTACTGTACGATTGTGACAATTGAGCATCACCTCAGTTTCAATATTTTTAATAGTATACTCAATTCTTTAATTTGTAGAACTCTAAATTTTTTCTTACAAAATAACACTACTACAACTAAAACTAACTTAAGGTGCACAATGTTTACCTACCTTGATGTACTGGTTGTCTTCTATACAGTGAGAAAAATAGGACGGATATACTTACATTTCATAATCATTATCAAATCAGCCATACGACATCCACTTCTGCTACTTACAGTTGAATATACCATCCACATTTCAATTCTTCTTCAGGAGCAGTCTAGCTAAATTAGAATAAAAAAATATGTTCCATCTCCGTAAGAATAACCTACATGTCACTAGTTCAGTTGGTCAACTATTTATTAAGAAATCTAACTGAACAGTTCACTGAAGTATTTTAAATAAGTTTAAGTATCTAGTCAAAATTAAAAATACAGCCAAAATGCACTTTATACTTGCATGCCTTAAGGCACAACTTGTCTCATCTTCAATCAAAAAGGAACTCATTTATGTTATTCAACACACTTCAACACATTCAACAGCCTTACGTATGAAACGTCAAGCAATTACAAGCACTTGACATATCCACGCGATCACAAGTAGTCGAAACAGAAACGGTAGTTCACAGTAGCCCTATTTACCACATTATGCAACATGCCCCACGATTATACTCCACATTATGTCACGTACTTTCATTTCTATTTCTATTCCTATGAATCGTATTTCAATAGAGGTAGAGCTCGTATTTGCTTGTCAAAATATAAATGGAATTATGCAAAACCGAGCCAGTTATGAGTTTATCGATCACAGGAAAAAAGCCTAAAATTGTTTGAGCTAATGAATATTTATATGTTTACGCATAAAAATTATACCAAAGCTAACATCCTACGTTTTTGATTTGAATAAACCTATTTGTTTTGTTGTTGTGTGATCGTGTTATTATAATTCTGTGAACGTGCACGTACGAGAAAAAAGTTGTATTTGCTTAATGGGTTAGCTTTTGACTGCGGCTTTGCCCGAGTTAATTTATATTTAACACAATGTCTTTTTTATGCGTGCGTTATTATAAAACAAACCAATAAAATTATGATTAGGGTATTTGTATAGAGGTACTCGTATATTTATACTAATTTATCCTTGGCAGGGTTCGAACCGCCAACCAATTGAACCATTTTATAGGACAACATTATTATTTATTAGGATAGTTTTGATTTTCTTAATTTATTTAGGAGTAAATACTTATAATCTGAAAATGTTTAATTTCAACAGTCTTTTGCATACAAACAAACAATATTTGGTCCTTAACATACCTATAGTAAACGAATATAAATGAAACAACGCAATGTATATAGGCACTCATATTTATTTTTACTTTTTTCTCAAATATATTAAGTTTTATCTATAAATGTAAAAATGAAAACACATAGATAAACATCATATCACACTGATAACAACAACTTTGTTTGAACTAAGTCAGTGCGGTTCACTTCTACTATAAAAATAAATTCTTAACTCCATCATGGAGTTTTACAAAGGCACTGCCATAACGTAATCGCATCGATTACTCAAAAGTGAACTTTAAAGTTGTACTTTAGGAAACATTTTTAATCTACAATTTGTCCAAAAACTAACTACTGGAATGGCACCTCATATCTTCAAATAGGAATGGAATGTCATTTTTTACATTTAATTACAAAAATACATAAAAAACATACACAATATTGTTGGTAAAAATTGGTACTAATGTACAAGATAAATTTTATAGTCAAAATTGTACTATTTTATATTGGCTTATTCTGATCTGTTACTATTAAGTCGCGAAGTCAAATTGTCATAAAAATAGAGAAACAATCGATGTTATTTAAAATAATAATAAACTAAGTACACATGAGCATCATAAAAGGAATGTCTAAAGTATTTAAAATCTCTAAAAACGAAACAATCAACAAATAGTAACACGCAAGCCTTAAAGTGAACTAAACATTAAACTAACACTAACCTATTAAGTACGTACAAATTAAAAAGTGACTCATACAAAACTGGCCTATGAACTATAAAAATAAATACTTAAAGAAAGTACTTACAAATTAACTTAATAGAAGTCTTGCATAGTAACGCAAGTTTAAAAATATTTGTACATAAGAATTTTGAGCTTCAAACTAACTGGCCTTTGATCCCTTTAAAAAAATAACTACATACTGGTAAAACAACACACTGGCTCATGGAACTGGCATTTCTATAAACATTCACGTATCTTCACAGTGAATTCCTTAGGCTTAGATAGGCAACAAAATGCCACTCGGCTAGAAACAGACACGCATTCAGATTGACTGCCTCTTTCAGCGTTTAATTTATTGCAACTCTATACTTAGACACAACATGACTTTTAAATTAATACCCTACTGTACAAAGAAAAAAAATAACAACTCTTACGTAATGGTAGTCAGATCAGGTAATCAAGAAGAAGGAATGTACATTTTACTTAAATACTGTATGGCAGAGAAATCAACTCGTCTCATAAAAATTAGACTAAGTTATTTACATATAAATAGAGTAACGAGCTACATGGCTGTATTGACTCACGGTTCGCTTTACAAACTAAGTTCATCCTGTCATTGGCACTTCTTCTGTTCTCTTGGGGACGAGTGACAGATCCAGAGGATTCTTCATTATGTCTTTGCCATTTTCTTCGCTCAAATCGATACTTAGTTCGGGCTCCGAATCGCTAACTTCATCGTTCTTAGGACTTCTAAATAGAACAGCAGTGGATTTAATCGATAGATCTATGGGTTGGTCTTGATCTATGGCAACACCTGCGACGGCCGGCGAATGCAGGAGCAAGTCACCACCGTTTCGGTTGGGCCATGTGGCCAAACCAGGTGGTATCGGTCTCAAATTTTGCAACGGAGTTGGTAAAAATGGACCTGTGCGCGGCGAAAAACTCGGAGTAGCTGATACTGGACCAAACGGGGAAGGCGGTAGAGTTGAAGGTTTCCGTTTCCTGACGTCCCTCGTTTGGTTCCTTATCGCTTGTAATCTCACGTCTTTTTCGCTGCACGGAGACGAAGCAGGTCTAAAGATGCTCAAGCCGCTTGTACTTCTCGAACTGTTGTCATCTTCTGGATCAGCTGACGACGCTCCAGAATCGGACGGCGACACGCTTTGCCGCGTCACGTCCTCTGTGAAGTGGTTCTTCTCAGAATTTTTGTAGTACTCAGCTAATGCGGAAGCTGGCAACAGATTCGTCGGCAGAAAGGACGGATTTATAGAGGAATTGAACCTGGGGGGTGACTTGCTCGTCTGCAGTTGCTGGATGTGTTGCTGCTGCTGCTCTTGTAACAGGCAGTGGATTTTGAACCAGTTGGATCTTCTTCCGTATCTCGAGCCGGACTTGGACATGCCCACTAGAAGGCATTTCCGTAGTCTGCAGGCCTTGCACGCCGTTCTGTTCTTCTTGTTGATGACGCACTCGCCGTTATTCTTGCATTCCGATATCGACGACAGGTTGTTGTACGTCCGCCCGAAGAACGACTGGAACAAACGAGAAAATTGCAATCTTAATAAAGGGAAATAAAAAGGGCATCGGATTGATGCAAAAAAACAACGCCGATTTCGGGTACACGCCTGCATTAAGTGTAAAATATCGACAGACTTCCGTCGGCAACGCATAAGAAATAGCAATTTATACGCGATACAGTTAAAGAGAATCATCTTTGAGCCCATTCAATTCGCTCCGTCCCTGCCCGGAATTAAAAATTACATTTTTCAAAAAGTCATCATAAAGAGCAGTGCGAGGCGTATTAAAATCTGGGTCAACGCGAATAAGGTTGTATCTCACACTTAATATTGCTGAGGCGAGCGCGCGCCGAATCCTGTTGCGTCTCTTGACATAAGTAATGGGGGTCTTTCGCGATTTTTTTAATAAATTTGGAAGTTACCCCGCTGAGAGCAGTCTCGGGTCTCTTCTTACCTAATTAAACTCGTACAAAAGCGTAAAATATGTGATTGTGCTACAGTTTCACTCGATGCCGTCGTGTGGCCGGTACACTTTCAGCGGTAAATAACGACCTGCCACATTATTTTGGATTATAACAATATTTTGCGTTGCAATTTGCGTTTATTGCGGCACACTGTTGCGTCTTCTTCGTAATTTGAAAGTTTCGTTTTAATTTAATTCTGGACTAGATCACCGAAATAAAAGTCTAGAATGGTTTCATTTCCGACACCCACAGATAACATTTACGATGTTTTTTACTTAGAAGGCGTGTTATTTAGCGGTCAGATGCAGATGTCGTGGGTCCATTGTTTGCAAGGATTTCCGCGTACATTCTGCGGCCATGTGAGTGAGTCATGAGATTAGAAATTTTTGATAAGTTGTTATGGGCGCGGATCGAGCGTACCAGATAAGTTCCTAATTGCGCGGGCAAGGTTTGTACGTGAGCAGCTTAGATTTTCGATGTAATGCGAAATAATAACATAATATAAATGGGCATTGTCCAATTTTCATATAATACGGTTATAGACGTCTGTAGGCGGTGTTGTTATAGTTAGCTTTTTTAGGGAATTATGAGATCGTTAAAGTGTACTGTTATAAAGTTTAATTTATTATAACAAAATTAGGTAGCGTTATAATTGGGCATAATATTGTGAAATAGTGCATTCCCGCATTCATAAGTGAGTTTTCTGAGCATTATCAGTAAGCAATGAATTTACACGTAAATAATAAATTTAAATAACGTGGACAATGAGCAATTAAAGTAATGTATTATCTGAAAATTAATATTAAACGATTGGCCAGTTAACATCATATTAACACAAACAACAAGAGTCAGCATATAAATAAGATGGTATCTCGAATGTAAAAGTCATCTTCCCAAAAAATGAAGCAATAAAGTGCATAATAACCTCTTATCGTCCATCAGAAATCGTTCCTGAAAGAATAAGTGCCTTGTTCCATTGCTGGGTTAAATGGGCCACTGAAAGGTCAAACATAAAAGTTCACATGATTTGTACCTGCAGATATCATCTGCATTAACATAATATATGCATATTTTTTGCTCTCAAACTGACCGCCGACAAGGATCTTAATAATGCAAGAAACTCCAACTTTTATTAACCAGGATTATCTTTAGGTGTCCTGTGTATAATTTTTGAGATGTAACAGTATATTCTGCTTTGGGGAGTTCATTTGGTTTTCGTTTTTAATTGCATTCTGTTGAGAACGGCGAGGGATTGGAATAATGCACAAAATGGAGAGAGATTAAAATTATCTTCTTATTTTGTGCTAGCTAATATTATAGCTACAATACTGCAACTTGTCATTACTCTTGGATTCTCCCCCTAAGAGAATAACGCTCGTATTCCCAAACGATGCTTGCTTAATTAAAGCAGCACTCGCACAGCGTTGAATGGAGCTCTGTGATTGGTTCGTGTCACCCGTACGTCCACGCGCACTGTGAGATCTCATAGTAACGTTTGTGAATACCGGCGTATGTAGGATTATTAACCTGTAGGGAGATGCCACCATAAAAATAAATAAATAAATTTTAGTCTGCTGATTGATATTATTGTTAGAGACACTTCGTAAAGGAGATACTACTCACTGATAACATTTAAAATGGAATCATAAATTATTCGTTAGACTGTTTCTTTCGAAAGCTGTAAAAATGTCAAAGACCAGTCATTACGTGCGATAAAATTGTATCTTCCTCAGTCTAACACCAAATTAAGATCTAACCTAATCTACATTCCATATTTGAAGGTGCGACGTCTATTTTCGTCCGATACTTCTCAACCATCACTGTTCTGCCATAAACTCTGTCACGTGACGAACAATGACAAACGGTCGAAGAATTTTATTATGCGCGTGGGCAGAATATTTTTTCTCACGGCCCCCGAATGTTTCAACTTTTACCTATCTACGATATTCTGTGGGCTTTCGTCTGGTTTAGTATGCGTAGTGATGTAATGCTGACAGGTTATCGATGTGCATTGGAAACAAAGCTATCGGTGGCGATAAATTAAAACCAAAAGAAGAATTACAATAAGACAAAATTAATGGAGCCTAACATTTGCACGTATATCTGCAATAAATAGTCTAGCTGTCTATGGGGATTGAACTAACATCCGAATTGGTGCAATCTAACATCTAAACATTTTTTTGTCATAAAATATCCTTTCTCCATTAGATCATAATCCTGATTTGAAAGTACTTCAGTAAATAAGGCCTAAAACTAGTCCTTTTTGTAATTTTTTTATTCATGTATTTTTTTTAAGTATCGATATTTATACAACTCTATACTGCACTATCAAACATTAATATTTAATTTTGTCACAGTGTTGTAAATCACGCGTGTTATGGAGATGTTATCTGCGCTGTTATGATCAATGGGAGATCTTCTGTCGTGGTTTATGGTACTTTTATGGGTGTAAAGTGGCTCTAGTAATGTTTCTAAATCATAAGGTATTTCCTTACACTATATTTATAACAAGTTTTATATAATTTTATTCGTATTTTATTTATTAAGTACAGTCGACAGCACATCAGATTGTATAGTTTTGGTTGTAAAATATCTCCTATTACTTCCACATAACAAACACCATTGTTAACTTGATGTGACGCCGCCCAGACGTGAAAATACCAGTGGCAGGCGTAAGTTAATGTCTTAAATGAATAAATCAATTGCCAAATTGGTAGATAGTGTTCATAATAATCTATTAAAATGTATGTATGTCCGTGCTAATAGAAATTGGTAATTTTTGTAACAAATAAAGGCAAATAGTGTTGATGTGGTGTGGTTTCAATAAAGGTATTATTTAATATCAGTATTGCTCGCGCCTGCACATAACTGATATTCTTTCAGCATTAAATTTCACGATTAATGTTTTATTTTAATTCAGTTTTATTCACCTAGTTTATAACACAATCAACTTTTTTTCTGTTTCAGGAGTTTTGTTTTATAATAAATAAAATATTCGTAAAATGTTTACTATTCTACTACTACCCGTAACCTACCGATACCGATCAAAACCAAAATTATTAGCATTTTGCAAACGTCCACCTTTATAGTGTTGCGGTCAAAGTGCACGCATTACAAAATGGCCGGCTCACAGATTATAGCGTGCTGCATTAAGTAACCTGGACATTTTAATAAATAACAATTTGTATATTACGACGGCGTTATATCAGAATATGGGCAAATCATGGAATGTCGTAGGTCGTGGTTTGGAAAAATAAAAACTAGTTTCGTAGAAAACTTGATAAAGGTTTTATAACAAAATTGATGCCGATCGTGTAGAGGTGTGGTTTTAAATATTAGGAGCACATCAAGGTAAATACTGTGGCACCTTAATCGATTGTGATAGGTGCCATTTTCCAACAAAAATGTGTGGTATGAGGTACTTTACTGTACTGTAAAGAAAGAGGAGATTAAAGGTCAAAGTATAAACCTATGATTTGATTTGAATGTTGTAAAAAATGTGAAAAACTATAAATATTAATTATGCGTAACTTTAGTATTATGGAGGGACTCTTGTAAATCAATTGTGTATTGATTTGAAGCACAATAATTATGTAACACGTATTTTAATACTTCAAAATTAGTAGAATTTATGTTAAGAACCAATACTTGCCTTGGGAACTGTATGTTTTTTTTTAAAAAAACTTGATCTATTTTTAAATAATAGCATTAGTTCGGCTACCAACATTATCTCTGCAAAATATGATAAAAAAATACTTAGTATGTAAACATCGCGTCCATTCCTATCCTATGACCCCAACTACCCCAGAAATGTCGCAAATTGACAGTAACCTACTGCGATCGCATCTGCTTGGCTACTCTGAAAACTTTATCCGAATTTTGGTTCCGAATGTTGCCATCTCTTTCACGCACAGCGAGGTGCCAGCATGAGCGACCGTGACAGATAGACCCGAAACTACGTAGACGGTATTTCGGAGTAGACCGGCTGCAATCTGTAATGTCATCAAAGGAGTTTGCGCATTCTGCTACAGTATTAATCCATCATGCCAAATGACCTAAGCTCGTATTCGAAGTTATCAGATGATGGTATGGTTGCTACTTGCGAGAAATCATCTTGTTTTTTTTTTTTTGTTTTAGGATCTACAGATGTATGGAAAACTTGATAGACAAGTAACTCGGCTTTGACACTTTTCAGGTAAGACTGAATTTCAATTAATTAAGTAATTAGTGTGTAATTTTACGGATTAACAAGGAAAAGGTGACAAGATCAAAAATAATAACAAAAATACACGACGTATGAGAATCATTCATTAGAATTAAAATAATTAGAGGGCGTTAAAACTAGGGCGATAATATAAAGAAAATCCCTGGAAATTATTTTCCTGCGCCATCTAGACCTTAACTAAGGTACAGGACTTATTCTTTTGTTTAATCCTCATCATCATTTCAGCCACAGAACGTACTAGATACATATTTAAAAATTTGATAAAACACTAAGAAAACTCATATTTTAAATGGGAGGTGTTGCTACTCCGCTGCGTACACCTAAAC